AGGAAGAAGCTCCTGGCTCCTGGCTTCAGCTCGGCACAGCTCTGGCAGCTGCAGCCATCTGGGATGAACCAGCGGATGAAGACCTCACTGTCTCTACCTCTTTGTAATTCTGCCTTTCAAATAAATAAATAAAAATTTAAAAGTTTTTAAATAGTAAACAAGAATTTAGATGAAAAAGTGGTCACACCTACTTCTCTCCTAAATGGTTCTGGTTTACAACAAGCAAACATTTAGTACAGACCAGCAAATACGCATGGGGGCTTACCTAAGCAGAAAGGAAAACCATAGAATTTAATGAAAGTTTATGTCCCAATAACACCTGATACACTCACTAGGCCTTTACCTGAATGTTCTCAGGACTCTTTACATACAAACATGGCCATTTAACATGATGTTAATAAAAAGACCTAACAGGCCAGCACCGCGACTCACTTGGCTAATTCTCTGCCTGCCCCACCAGCACCCCGGGTTCTAGTCCCAGTTGGGGCACTGGAATCTGTCCTGGTTGCTCCCCTTCCAGTCCAGCTCTCTGATGTGGCCCGGGAAGGCAGTGGAGGACGGCCCAAGTCCTTGGGCCCTGCACCCGCATGGAAGACCAGGAAGAAGCACCTGGTTCCCGGCTTCGGATCGGCGCAGCGCGCCGGCCTTAGTGGTCATTTGGGGTGTGAACCCACGGAAGGAAGACCTTTCTCTCTATCTCTCTCTCACATACTAACTCTGCCTGTCAAAAAAATAAAAAATAAAAAGACCTAACAATAAAGAAGTAAAACATTTTTTTCTTCTGTTTTCAGCTTATTAAAAGAGACTATCGAAAACTAAAGATCTGAAGCAAAAGGCTTTCGTTGGTTCTAAATAAGCACAAAAAGGCACACCTATGTTACAGAACACTACAAATCCCAATCACCCCATACAACAGTACAAGAGACTTTGGAAACCGCCCATTTCAACCTGGGGCACTTTATATAAACATGTCAGTTTCCTTTTCTTAGACTGAACTCTAAGATGACTTTAAACTCTTAAAAAAATTTTTATCTTTAATAGAATAGTAATTAAGGCCATGAGACAAAGTTGCTGTATGTTTAGCCTTTTGCAAATAAAAGTACTTACTAATTTCTTAAAACAACAGTATTGGTCTTCATCTAGCCTCAAATAAAAAATAAGAAATTAAATAAAATTACGGCTAATTGTATCATACAAAATGTAATCTCATTCAAATATTTACTATAGGGGAAGTATCCTAGAATAAAATAATGTGGCCAGGCTAAAACAACCCATTCTAATACTTGGGATTCTACTCTTACCCCAGGAAAAGGTACCCAGTAAGGAAACTCTCAACTTTACTTTTTAAATACCTTCCTGGATTACTTGTGTACACACAGGCAGCGGGAAACAAATTAAACACTACTGCTGTTTTACTGTGACAAGGTGAATGCAAAACAAAGTACTGCACTGCAGAGGAGTTCTGGCAGCCAATGGCAAAGCTAACATATCAGAGGTCCTGCTGTCAAGAAACACTCCAGATGTTAGTGCCAAAAAGATTTTACTTGAAAATTAGTTAATGCTTTTATTTTGAAACAGCTCCACTGAAAAATTCTAAGCAGAAGGACACTGCAATGCTCTAGAACAAAGTGTCACTTTCAGGATAGCCTCCTTTTTAAATATTATTAACTGCAAAGCTACAAAAGAGTAATCTAAAAGCACACTACACTTTCGCCCACCAGTCTTGATCTCTTATTGGCTTACCAATCAGTCAGGGTCTTCTGTCTTTCAGCCAAAAGACACTTAACCTTCCACCTACCAAAGTCACTAGTCTACTATAATTTAGAGTGGAACAATTTTAATTTTTATATATTAAAATATCCTGTATTCTACATTAAACTGGTTACATCTTACTATATCAAATATATCAAACGAGCTCCCTTTTTAAGATTAAGACCTGGTTTCAAAGTATCATCTTACATAGCCTAGAGCCCCATTCTGAACCAATGAACTGATGAAGAAAACTAGGGAGTAAATAACTCAATTCAGTATTACTTAATCATTTAAGATTTATAAATGGGAGTTTTATACTTGATTCTCTTTATCACCACTGTATTCTCTGCTACTTGTTCATGCAGTCTTTATAAGCCCAAATTTTTAAAACCAAGTCAGTGAGTTGCATTACATAATAGGATCATATTTCATCAACATTAAGCATGCATTCTCTCCAAACAGATGCTCAGCTTTCCTCACATTAGGAAAGGAATAATTTTGTTTTTTAAACAAAGTACAATAAATTTATTATAATTCTCTATGCCTTGACATGATACTACATATCCATTGAGTAAATTATATCAGGGTACTTGATGTTAGAATCCACAGGGGGAAGAAAGGATATTTTGGTACAGAAGGTTCCAATATGAATAGGTCATGACTGAAATACAAGTCAAATATGTTACTAATGGGCTGATACAAAAATAAGTCCAGTTGTAAATGCTATCTTACTTTATTCCATTAAGGTTCCTAAAAAGGAATTCAAAACTGATTTGTAATGCAAGTTCTATTTCAGGTACATTAGAAATACTCCTATTGAATCACTGTAAATCCTCTCATAGAGCCAAAACAGCTAGATATTAAGAAAAAGAAATTTAAACTAAAAACCGGATGTGTTTAAATTAGGGGAAAATGAGTATGCCTGAATTTTGCAAAAAAGTAAAATACAGTTTTAGTTACAATAACGACTATTTAACCAATCAGTACTCAGGCTTTGGCTTATGAAGACGCCTCACTTAACTGTAACTTGACTTTCTTGCTATCTAGCACCCAAAACTCTGAAATGGCAGGAAAAATATGCAAAATATATTTGTTACTTTGTGCAATTTGTTAAATCTCTATCATTACAAGGCAATCTCAGTATTTATAAACTCAGTCAACAACCTCTGTAATAATTACATTACTCTGTCTCCCATAATTTGGAGGGAGGGGATGTGAGTGTATACACACCTTGTACACATGGGGGAAACCTTTCATGGTTCAAGTCCTCACCGGGCTTAAAAACAAAATTTCTGTTTTTCAGATGTACCTGAACACCAGAATGTAAGTCACTTCACAACTAAGCTGGCGATTTATCAGTGCCTTACTTCATATTTGTCTTTTAAGAATTATTCTTCAGTCATTAACATAAATGTCTATACTGAAAATATGTCATTAACATTTATGGTCTGATTCCTATCTTAAAAAAAGATTTCCAAGAAATTCTGAAAATTAAGGCATTCAAGCATCAGCCAGATTGACAGGACTGTGTATTACACTGAGAAGACTTTAAGACACCAAAGTTAAACTCATTTTCAAATAGGATAGCATAAAATTAAATTCCATGGGCAACACTCAAGGTACTAGCCTTGGGCATGCTTGTTTTAGTCTACATTTGAACGTAGCTATACAGATAGGCCTATTATTCCGTTCACTAATAATAAAATACATTTACTTCCCCCCCAAAAAAAACAAACCTAGACATCCTAAGATTGTTTCATTTCTCAATTTCAAATAAAGTCCTTGAAATGCCAAGTAAAATTTCCAACCTTTATTACTTAAGGAGAGACAGTTTGTTTTAAAATCCCCCTCAAAAAGTAAAATAAGTCAGTAAATAAGCCATTATAAGCATTTAAGCTCAAATTTTTGCCATACATTCACACTGTCTCAACACCTTAAGTAACACTATAAGGTGAACGGCTAACTAAGCAATTTTAAATATCCTCAAAAATGCGAGTTGTTATCACGAATAGGTGGTACCGGGGGCGGACAAGTAAAGTTATGCTGTAAAAGGGAGTGAGCATTAACAGCCACCGATGTAACTGCTCCATTTTTTCCACGACGATTTTGCTTCTTCCTTTCCACCTCCAACCTTCCCTTGCGAGCCCCTCTCCATCCACACGCACACACCCCTGCTAAGCAGAGTTGGGACACTGTCCTGGGCAGAGAGCAGAAAACAAAAGGCCGCCTAGAAGGCAGCCCTCCGGAGTGGACCAGAATGACCAAACGCTGAATCCAAAACCAGTGGGTGTGGCTCGATTACTTTTGGAGGGGGGGGCGCGAGAGGCCAGTCCGGCGGCTGCCGGCCTCGGCCCTCCCCCTCTGCTTTCGCTTTGTGCTCACAATGCAGCTCCAGTACAGCGCTGCCCTCCCCCCGCAGCCGCCGCCATGTTAGACTCTCTCCATGTGCCCGGAGACCCAGCGAACGCCCGGAGGCCGAGCCGGACCCACCCCCCCAGGCCAGCCTCCGCCGTGGCGGTGCCCCAGCCCCTCCTCAGTCCCCGGGAGCGGAGAGTCGCTGCGGGAAGTCCTCCCACGATCCGGCTGCGCGTGAGGCCCGGGGGACACCCAGACAATTGAAACAAAGAGGGAAACGTGGGGGAGCCCGGTGGCTGGGGGCGGAGGGCAGCGCACGCACGGCCGAGGCCCGCTCAGAACGGGCCGCACGGAAACACGGGCCATTCTGCTCTGAGATGCGGAACACGCTTCTCCCCGAGGAGGAAGAGGGGACGGTCAGCAGGCCGGAGCACACGGGAACGGAGCGGACAACCCCGGGGCTGTGCGACACGGGCCGCCCCAACTCCACGAGGCAGGCGGTTGAGCCCGGAGCCCCCCGCCCCGGCACTTCCTCGGCCTTCCCCGCTGGCCCTGGTCCAAGGAGCCGGGCCTCGTCGGATGGGGGCCAAGGGCATCACACAGTTGCGAGGCGGAGGCAGGCCCCCGCCCGCACACTCGCCAAGCCCGAAGGCCAGGAAGCCCGAGTCGCACGCAGACCCCGGGGCCGCAGCGCGTCCGGGTCAGGTGACAGGCACCTCCCCCAGGAGCCCGCTTTCCGGCACGAAGCTCCCGCTGACCCCGGAGACTGGGCGTGGGGGCCCGGGACCCAGGAAAGCGGCAGGAAGTGCAGCTCCAGCGGCTGGGGGCGGGGGTGGGGGGGCGCGCAGAGCCCGGCCGCAGCAGACCCTCCCTCTCCCGCCGGGTCCTGGCACCTTTTTCTTCTCCAGGTTCCGAAGTTTCTTGTCGATCACCCCGAGAATCTGCTTCATGGCCTCGGTCTGGACGGCGCCGGTGCCGGTTGCGGGGTGCTGAGAGGCCGGCGCAGCGGCCCCGGCCCCCGCCGCCGCCTCACTCCCTGAGGAACCCGACGGCGGTGGCGGTCCGGACGACTTGCTGCCGCTTCCGCTGTGGCTGGTGGCCGAGGGCATCTTCAGACCGTGCAGGGAGAGAAGAAAAAGCGGGAGGAAGGACAAGAGCGGCCAAGTCAGAAGACGGACGGGGCGAGACGCGGGACAAAACGCGCAGCCGGCGGGAGCCTGCGCGAGCGGGTGGGGGAGGGGGCGCGCGCGCACGACGCCGGGGCAGGAAGAGAGCGCGGGCGCGCGCGCGCGACCCGCCAGCGGGGCGCCCGGCCGGCCTCGCGCCGCCCCCCGCCCCTCCCCTCCCCCGCGCGAGCCGCCGCTCGGCCTACCCGCCCCGGGGCACCGAGGCTCGCGCCGGGGGCGGGGCCTCGCCGCGCCGGCCGCCAACGGCCAGTGCAACGGTCCCCACCGGGCGGGCCGGGACGCGCCGCCTTCCGAGGAGGGGAGGGGAGACGGAGGTCAGGGGTGGGGGGGGCGGGTAGAGAAGGGCACTGGAAATGGCTGGGGGTGGGGAGGACTGGAGGAGCAAGCCCCTCGCGAAGCTCCCGCCGATGCGGAGGTAAAGGACACTCTTCGCAGCGGCCCTCTTCCCCTTGAGCGCCTCCGCGGTCCGGGCTGGCGCTCACCGTGCGCGCGTGGAGGCCGCTGGAGATCCCGAGTGGGCAGCTGAGGGGGACAAAGGGTGGCAAGTGCGTTCCGGGCAGTGTCGCGCGCTCCGTGGGCGCAGGCCGCTCCGCCCTGTGCCCGCTGCACCGAGAGCCGCTCCTAGTGAGGCGAGAGCCGGCAGCGGGAGGGACTAAGCCAGCCAGCCAGCCCTCTAGGGCGCGGGGGGCGGGAGACGTGCGAGCGGGGCCTTCCTCGGCCGCTGGGGCTGCCCGGCGCGAACGCCTGCCCGGAAGCGCCGGCCCGGCCGCCTCCCCTAAGAGCCCCAGCACCTGCGCTGGCGGGGGTGACCCCTGGGCCCAGGGCGGGGCGGCCCTGGGAGGCCGCGGTGGCGCCGCTTTGGCATTTGGAGCGAAATGGAAGCTAGGGTCCTTCAGGCGAAGTCGCCTGGCGTCCAAACGGGGACAATAGGTGTCAAGCAGCTGGCTCCGGAGCTGGCGACTGCCCTAGGAAGAGCCCTTATTTGGTGGGGGTGGGGGTTGAGGGGGGGGGGCAGAGGTTTCTGCAAGTAAGGGGTGCGTGGGGTGGGTGCTGCAATCTCAGCTTCCAGTATTCCTGAATACAGAGCAAGCAAACTCGCGCACCTCAAAAGGTGTTTTCAAAACAGACGCCAGATCCTTTTCTCCAGTCACCCGGTAACCTAGGAGTTCCCTGTGGAACGCGCCGGGAATGGGCATGACCCATGGCATTTTGAGCCTTAGGACTCCACGCGCACGCGAAACTTGATCTTCAGCTACCCTAGCATGAAATGTATCCAGTAGACCCGAGTATTGGGAATTATTCGGCTTTTTTCCCCCTTTGTGTCAGCCTAAAACAAAAAAGTTGAATGAAATTTTAAAAATCCAAGAGGATTATTCCAGCCTTGGGGTGGGGTGGGTGTGGGCAGTGAGCAGAAAATAAGTAGCCAAGCGCTGGAAGCAGTGTATTAAAGGGAATATGATCAGTGGGAAATTCCGCATCATAATGTTGTAGGACAACAGTAAAGGACCAATCTATGATTCAAATTCCATGCGGACGGGATGTTGAAGAGGGTTCCAGCGGACCCACTGTTCCCTGGGGACTTCAGTGAGTAACACTGGCTGGCCAACGGTGCTTCCTGGGGCACCTCTGGTCTCAAGATACTCCCCTTAGCTGCAAAGTGTTATCTATTCCTTCAAATATTTATTGAGCACCCGCCTGCATGCCGGAAGTGTCAGTGCTCGGGATTGGGAACATAAATATCTTCATGGAACTCAGTTTCTTGAGTAGCGAAAAACAAGTAAATATATGTCAAATAGAGTATTGGAGGAGAAAACAAATTTTGTAAAGGGGCGGGGGGGGGGGGCGGTGCTGTCAGGAAAAGCCTACTGAGTAACATTTGAGCCAAGACCAGAGGAGGTGAGGTAGAAGGCCAAGCAGCTTCATTGGAGGAAGAATTTTCCAGGTAGGGGAACACCAAACACTGAGCTGGAGTGTGTTTGGTGGATTCAAGGCAAGGAGGTCCGAGTGCCACAGCACAGAGTGAAGGTGAAAGACCTAAAAGGGAGCCAGTCTTACAGGGGCCGATAGCGGACGTAGACTTTGGCATTCGGTGAGTGCAATGAGGAGTCATCATTTCAAACAGGGGGGTGTCAACCAGTGTTTGAAATCACTCTTGCTACTGTGTGAAGAATTTACAGTATGTGTGTTTTGGTAGTGAGAGTGAGGGTGGAGCAAGAGCAGAAGCTAGGAGACCAGTTAGGAATCTATTGAAATAGCTCAGCCCACATGTGGTAGCCAGGGCAGGGTGTAGCAGAGAAGGTGGTGATAAGAGGTTGCATTCCTTATACCTGATGTGCTAACCAGTTATATGTTAGGTGTGAGGGAAATTGAAATTGGCCTTAGGTTATTCAAGATTTAAGTACCTAAACTATTCTTGGCACTGTGATGAACAATTATGCTAGACCTAGAGGCTAGAAAGTAAGATTATAATCCTTGGCTTCCTGCAATCAAGTATATTCAGCCCAACCCAGACCTACTGAAGGAACCTGCATTTTAACAAGATCTGCAGGTGTGCATATACATTACAGTTTGAAAAATCACCTCCTTGGAACTTGACCTGTCAGTGTCTTTGAGATGGTACATGAAATACCCTTTTGGTATACCAGAGCTATAGAATCAGACTCCTGAAGTGGAGCCCAAGTCTTTTTTTTTTTTTTTTTTTTTTTTTAAGTTTATTTCTTTGAGAGGCAGAAACAGAGAGAGAGAGAGAGGTCTTCCATCCGCTGGTTCACTCCCCAAATGGCCACAATGGCCAGAGCTGAGTGGATTCAAAGCCAGGAGCCAGGAGCTTCTTACAAGTCTCCCAAGTGGGTGTGGGGTCTCAAGCACTTGGGCCATCTACTGCTTTCCCAGGCCATAGCAAAGAGCTGGATGAGAAGAGGAGCAGCTAGGACTCAAACCAGTACCCACAGGGGCTGCTGTTTCTGTAGGCTGCGGCTTCACCTGCTCTGCCACACGCTGGCCCCCCAGTCTGTGCTTTAACAACCCTACTAGGTAATCCTGACGCATGGTAAAGTATGAGAACCAGAGACTTAGACTTCCAGTGATTCAGTTGTGAATGGAAGAGGACTTGTAATAAGGTGTGGTGAAGAAAGGGCACAAGGGCACTTTGCCTTTCCTTGGCTTGTTACCCAGAGGCATGATCAACAGATTAAGCTTTTTCTTTCTTTTTTTTTTTAAACCTCTTGTTTTTTCAAGGAAAAAGGATTCTTGAGAGGGAGCAAGGCTGGATGAATCTCTCTTGGAGCCCCCCTCTAGGCCACTCTGGCTGGAGGTCTCTGACTTAAATAAATCTTGCTTAAAAAAAAAAAAAACCTAGATGAATCAAGGGAGATAATCCGGTTCCTCATTTAGGGGTCCATCTCACAGCCCATAGTGTATGAAGATAGCTAGGCTAGGTTATGCTGCAGTAACAACCCGGAAAGCTCTGTGATGTGAAACAGGCATCTCACACCACGTCCAGTGGCCAAGTGGTGCCTGTTGTCTGTTTTTGGAAATAGCTTGAGACAGCCACATCCACTCCTGTACATATTTTTCTATAATCACCTTTATGCCACAGCAGAACAAAGCTGAGGAGTTATGACACAGTAGCTGTGCAAAACCTAAAATACTGTCTCCCATACAGAAAAAGTTAGCAAATTCTTGGTTTTATGCAAGTGTCACACATCACAGTTCAGCAAAGGGTGTACTCATGGCAGTTGCACAGTCGATTCAGGCTGATGGAGAAGTCAAACCTCAAGTGTTGCCAGTCACCGTACTCTAAAGAAAGAGAACTCAGGCAGGGTTCTCTTGAGTAGTTCATTAAAAGCTCCAGACAGGGTCCAGCCTTGTGGCATAGCAGGTAAAGCTGCCCCCTGCAATGCCAGCATCCCATATGGGTGCCGGTTTGAGTCTCAGCTGTTCCACTTCTATCCAGCTCCCTGCTAACGTGCCTAGGAAAGCAGTGGAAGATGGCTCAAGTACTTGGGAACCCTGCACCCATGTGGGAGACCCGAAAGAAGCTCCTGGCTCATGGCTTTAGAACAGCCTAGCTCTGGCTATTGAGGCCATTTGGGGAGTGAACCAGTGGATAGTAGATCTCTCTCTCTCTCTCTCTGTAACTCTGACTTTCAAACCTTAAAAAAAGAAAAAGAGAAAAAGCTCCAGACAGGTAGACATGGAACATACTCCCAGAATGATTCCCTTGACCCCATCCAACCATAAAGGGGTCAAGGGAGAGTTTTCTGGCATATGCCTGGTAGTTAGCAGGGTGAACCAGAAATATTTGGTGAACACATATAGCTTATGTTCTGACTTCCTACAACAAGCCCATTTCCTTGGTGGTCTCACATCCTTGTAGCTGTCTGTTCAGATCTTCAAGTCCAGGAAGACCAACAGAGTTAAGGCGAAACCGTCTTTGAATGACTTCTGCTCAGCCCATTTGCCATGGTCTCATAAACAAAATTTACCTCTGTCCTCTTTGATGGAAAAGGGACTGAGGCTATTTATGTGGATTGTTAATACTTTACTGCCATTTTTAATTTTGTTTCCTAATCCAGAAATATGTAGTAGCTTGAGGTCATTGTATCATTGAGCAAAGAGGAAAAGTAAAAGGTTTTCTGAGCAATATAGGTCCTTAAATATGGACAAAATAGAAAATAAGTCCAAAATATTCCTGTAAATAGAAAACACTTCTCAAAAAACCTTGGTATTAAATTTATGCACAATATTAACATGTTAATAACACAAATCTCCCAAACTGACATTCCTTTGGTTAATTCAATTGATGACAGCACTCTTAAGATCTCCACAAAGTAACCAATTGAATTATTTATCCTGGTAATTTGGCAAAATAGTCCAACTCTTTCAACTTGGAACACACAATAAGCTATTGCCAAGTTTATTTGTCGCAAAAGAGCACTTGGACTAGAATTACATGAGGTTGACAGAACCTAGCTGAAGTGTGAATTACCCAACTCATACAGCCAAGGATCTTGAGGTCTTTTTTTTTTTTTTTGGTCATTTTACTACACATTAGCAGAAGATATTCCTATTGTAATATTTGCAATACAGTATTTATGATAATATATTTGTCAATTTTTTTTATATAATGTATTTGTCAACGTGTCCATGAGGCACCTCTAAGCTCTTTGCTTTCCAAGGGAGGAAAAGTGTTGTTTTTTCATCTCTTTATGTTCACAAGCAATAGCATGCCTGGCACAAATATTTTGTCGCTAAATATTGGCTACTATGTTAACATACCAGTCAAGGTTGATGTTTATCATAAGTGTTCCATAATGTCTTTTTTCTTTCTTTCTTTGAAGTGACTGGAAGAGATAGCATTCTTTTCCATTTACACTTGCTAAGGTTTTCTTTTCTCATTCAATGTTTTAAAATTTATATAAAGGCAGAGAGAGAGCGAGAGAGAGGTATCTCCCATCTACTGGTTCACTCCCAAAATGCTTGCAACAGGGGCAAGGGGCCAGGTTAAAGCCAAGAATCAGGAGCCAGAAACTCAGTCCAGTTCTCCTACATGGATGGCAGGGACCCAACTACTTTTGTAGGGGGAGGGAGGTGATAAAGATTAATTTACTTGAAAAGCAGATTGACAGAGATCTTTCATCTATGGGTTCACTCCCCAAATGACCACAACAGCCAGGGCTGGGCCA